ATTCAAATATAATTTGAAAACCGAATGAGCAGTTAGCTCCGTGGAGTGCGAGCTGGCGCATGCGCAGAACCAGGTTTACTCTACAAGCAGCTGGGTAAAATACAGAGTATAACATCCTATTTTGCCCAGAAATTAGAAAAGAAATTAACTTGGTTAACACGTTCGTCGCATAAGCAAAGCAAAGTGGAGGGGAAATCCCATATTATAATTATACAGATGAAAACATGCCCAACTCAGTACATAAAATTCTACAACGGGGACCTAAGTACATCCCGCCTGCCAACACCAATCTTTCCCAGTTGATCCTGACTACGTTAGCAGCACTCAAGTTTTGCCAAAAGGACACTACATGTCCGCAAATGGAATGGTCTATAATTACGAAGCTTGCTATGGCAAAACAAAGATCTGGTAAGCCCAATGGTTTTGTGGACCACTGAGTGGTAGAACACTTCCTTGCCAAATCCAACTTGAGACTCCTAGTCTCTGACAAGGACCGGAGACTTTTTAATCAGGGCCAACGAATTTCTAACACAGTCGCATTCCTTGGAGATGAGCAAGGACCCTACTCAAATGGTATTAAGGAAGGCAAGAAGAATTTCCTCAACCCTAACTGGGTTGCTCGATCCCCCTCCAATGTTACGTGTCCTAGGTTGTTCTTTCAGCCAAAAACCCATAAGACAAACTGGCCATTACGTCCGCTGGTAAACAAACAGTCTCATCCTACCTATTATTTAGAAAAAGTGCTTGCCAAATTCCTTTGCGCAATAGTTCCGGGATCTCTGTATGTTACTCCCTCTTCAGTTATTGCTAAATCCACCATTGCTTCGAGTATTGGTGCACTACGGCCAGACACCTACACCTTCTACAAACTAGATGTAATATCTTTATATTCTTCAGTGCCCACTTTTGAGGCTGTAATGCTGGCTAATTCTCTGCTTCTAAAAAAGGGCTTTAACATCCAACAGGTGCTTGATATATGTGATGCGCTCACCTTTGTCACCGAGCACAATTACTTCCGTTTCAACCCAAAAATCTATTTACAGAAACAAGGGATCCCTATCGGCTCCCCGTTATCTGCTATCCTAGCAGAACTTATTATGAGAGAGATTGAGCACAGAACGTTCAATTCCCCACTTGCCATCCATTACCCGAGGCTGTATTTGCATTATGTTGACAACATCCTCATAGCGTGGGAAGACACAGATGAGACGTTCCTCATCTTTATGCAACAACTCGCAAGTATATATCTGCGAGATTCTAGGGATTTTTAGATTTAAAACTCCACTTTCGTGACACCAATATGTGAACCGCTGGGGAGGTAACACAGGTCGTCAAACCTTTTCACTGTCAGGACAGCTTGTTTTATGATAACGGTCCCTAGGTTTGGGACTCAAACGTCAGGCGAGTAGAGAGAGAGAATTTGGGGTCGACGATTAGGTGAAGGACGTATACGAGTAAAGGAGTCTACCATTTTAACAAATATTAAACAAAAATTTATTAGAATAAGCAAAATTGACAAAAGACTACACAAAACTCGTTTCTAAACTCCCTAACAGCTCGAGAGAGAGTCTACACATTTCTTTCGTATCTCTTTGTATGGTTCCTAGGCGAGTAAGTCCCTGTAGGCACTTAATTGTTCAATAAAAGGTGGGTTTAATCCAAATGCACAATTATAAAAAGTTTGCGACTCTGGCGATGATCAGATAACGATGTTCGTAGATCGGAATGTCAGCGGGTTCGGAGAATTGGTGCGATGTCGTCGGTCCGGCTTTCGTTAAGAGACTCCCCCGAGAGGGGGTAAGAACAGTCTTTTATAGCTTTTTTCCATCACGTGATCAGATGTTCATGAGCTAAAGGTTATAGGTGTTCCAGGGACCTAAAACAAGTGACGAAAGTTGGATGCTAACTATAGACTTTTGTGCAAGACGAGCTGTAAGTTACGTAGAGAACAATAGATGTTGATAGTTATAACAGGAAGGTTTACACATTCCCGGCTAAGATCGATTTTTTTTTCTTCTAATTCGTTACATAAACGAAAGTGAACTAATTAAAATTTTAGTTAATAAATTCCGGATCTCACATATCCTTCCATCAATTTCACTTGGGAGAAAGAAAGTGATGCGGCAATAACATTCTTAGACCTGCATATATGTAAATCTTCGGAAGGACCACAATTCTCGGTCCACCACAAATCTAGCATAGCTCCACACATTATACCAGCAGACGCCTTTCAGCCTTCTCGATATGTTAATGCTGCCATTGCCTCTCTTGTCAGAAGGGCTTACTTACTATCCTCTATGCAGGAGCTGGTAAACGTTGAGTTAGACATCATCAATTTGGCAGTACACGCTGCTGGTTTTTCATGTGCAAAATTTACACATGTGCTCAATATGGTAAAGAAAGCACTATTTCCAAGCACTATGTTATGCAGTAAGAGAGAGTTTTCAAAAGTACAAACATCGTTGCCATACCTTGGACCCCTATCTTTATGCATCTGCAGAATCTTTAAGCAGCGCAATCTTGCACTACCATTATCCCCACTTCCAAGCCTACGCAAACTTATTTGTAACAATAGAAACAAATTTTCCACTCTCGAGAAGTCGGGGGTCTATGCTCTACCTACACAAGATATATCGGGGCCACCACTAGAATGCTTGCCAGCCACCTTGATGAGCACCAAGACGATGTTATGAGGGGTAGGCACACCATCGAGCTCGCAAAAAGGTACTTGAGCAGGGCTACAACATGCTATGGCCCCAAGTGGTTATGCTCAAGAGCTGCAAGGATTGAAAAATAGTTTTCATATGGGAATCTCTCTTTACTACCACCTTGGACACTTGCAACATCCCTGTGCTCAATCTGCCCAGTGTATGGGTCATGCTATATAAGCATTTAAGCAAGTATTAGCGTTCTCCAGTTTGCATGTAGCGTGAGCCTGGTTTTGTGCATGCACCAGCTTGCACTTTGCGGAGCTAATTGCTTGTTTGGTTTTCAAATTATATTTGAATATTTCCTTCGTGTTCTTAACGGCTTTGACAAAGTTTCAACTTATACTTTGTGCGTTCTATTTTACATCAGATTATTTCTGTTTAATTTTTTCAGAAAATGTTTGTATTCGCCTGAGGACAATGACTACAAGTTTTTTTATTGCAAGCATCGAAAGTACTTGCGATAAAAAAATGTATGCATGTAACGCTGAACTCAGTGTCTTTATTTTTGTTATTATTATAATTCACTTTTTCTTTGGCTAAAATTTTAATTAAAATATTTGATGCAAAAACAGATTTTACAATATTCTCTTATTTTACTTTTAGTTTTAAATTTTTCAAGTATTCATAATAAAAAGTATTCAAGCATTGTGATTGAATACCTGAAAAATTTTAAAGTAAAGCTCATCTTCAGAGAGAGCATCAAAACTTAAATTTGAACAAACTTAGAAAATTTACAAGAAAATTTTCAAATGAGACAGTACATTAAAAGTTCCTTCATCTTGTCCTTTCTACACATCTCAGGAAATAACACTCTCATGCCTGAAGCAATATTTCTTTAGAGACATCATCCATCTAAATTTGAACATATCTACAAAATTCCAATAGTTGAAAATATCAAATGGTTAAGAACACTTAAGATTTAAAGTTTAATTGCTATGATAAATTCTATGATAAATTTACTAACAAGCAACAAAAAATACAATATGATAACAAGCAATTACTTATTGTGACAGCATCACAATGCTGGACTGCAATTTTTAATCATATTTTTAATTTATTTAATTTAAAATATATGCTCTCCACTACAAATTAGTAGTGACTTGCCCCTCTACATTGTACTCTTTTCCTTTAATGATAGTCATGCCAGTCATATATCTGACACCTTTCAGGGCAAAATTTTTCAATTGAAATAAGATGACTTCTGGTTTGCATCAGAAGTTCTTATATAGTTAATCAGGGTTCCTGCCTCAGGTTTTCTTATCTGGTCTAGTCTTTCATCTATCTAATTCCATTCTTGAGATTAAGGAAAGATGGATGGACAACAGTAGGAATTTATAGATTTATAATTTTTCAAATTGCAGCCCAATAACAAAAAACTGAGAAGTCCCATTGTAAGTTTAGTTGAACAGTTTCTGCGCATCTTCCACTGTGCACTCTGTACTTATCATGTGCTCATACTCCTATCCCATAGATACCATTTCCATGTGTTAAGAATGGGTTTCTAAATCCTTGACATTATGTAAGTAAATTTTACTTAAATCCTGGTACTTTTGGGATTTCCAGCTTATTCTTACTGTCACTACTACTGTTTGTTGGAATCAACGATTGAGGTTATTGTTAAATATTATATGACATCGATATGTACAACATTGTGTCATGGTGATGATTGTAAATATTTTTCCCATTATGTAATAAAAGGTTGGTGCTGTTGACCCCTCAGGGAACCATTGATGATGGTGACCTTATTTTATTCTCCTCTTTTCAGCGCTGACCTTCTGTGAGTCAAGGCAGTATTATCTTTTCTGTAAAACTTCTTTGTCACATAACCAATTACACAAGTCCAACCAGTTTTCCTAATCTCCAAAAAGCAACATCCAGTCTAACATTGTTGTGACAGAAACATGATGTGAATCTGTCACAGTAATGTTGGTACTCCCAATAACAGATCCAGAAATTTTCAGAGCGATGCAAAAAGGAAAAAATATGCCTTCGAAAATTTTTTAATACCTGAAGCTTTATGTGCAAAAAATTCCAAGAAAGGAGTGCAGCTGCATCCTACATACCTCCCTAAATCCATCCTTGGATACTCCTAATGATGGTCTGGAAAGCTCAAATGTAACATTTAAGCAAATATTTCATTGTGATCTTCAAAAAACCTGAGAATTGTATATCCATAATTATTTTTCAAATTATATTTTATATTTATTATTTTAACTATAAAATATTTATAATTTTACTTTTGACTATATTAATTTATTATAGTTAATATGGATAAAATATTTTAATCAGGTAAAAATCCAAGGACAGAATGTAGAAATGTTACGTGCAGCTTGTGAGCAATTTTTAGGTAAGTCGGAGAATGAAATCAGAGCAATTGCTCGAGAAACTTTAGAAGGACATCAGAGAGCTATAATGTGTACTATGTCTGTTGAGGTAATCTGAAATTTAATTACATAAATTATTATACTATATTTCACAGTTTTATAAAATAATTTTAAAGGAAATTTTGTTTTCTAAGGAAATATTTAAGGATCGTAAAAAGTTTTCTAAGCAAGTCTTTGAAGTTGCATCATCTGATTTAGTAAATATGGGCATTACAGTTGTCTCATATACCATTAAAGATGTAAGCGATGATCAGGTAAGAAAAGCACTTAAAATGTATTCTTTAAGTTATTGACTGCACAAAATGACCAGCTCTTGCCTTTTCTCAAAACTGCTACAGGTAACCCCGTATAACACGGCACTTCTATAGCACGGATTCGCTCTAACACGGTTTGAGAATTGGTACCATCCCCCGTATAACACGGCACTTCTATAGCACGGATTCGCTCTAACACGGTTTGAGAATTGGTACCATCCCCCGTATAACACGGTACTTTTATAGCACGGATTCACTCTAACACGATTCGAGAATTGGTACCATCCCCCGTATAACACGGTACTTTTATAGCACGGATTCACTCTGGCACGGTTCGAGAATTGGGTAAAATTCTCGTACAACAGGAAATGTAATAAATTTTTACATACTTAAGTAATAACAGTTTACGAAAATTATTATTTTCGTAAACTGTTAAGTATGTAAATTTTCTTTTTTTGCCTTTTGTCGATACACGTGGTCCTTCTCGAAACTTGTTTGAATGTGCCAGATCTCGACGCTTCTGCTTCTGATGTTGCCAGATGTTTCTTCCTTATTCCATAATTGCTTTATTCTTCATAAGTGCTAAGCACCATGTAAGGAAATTTATAAAGATCTTTTAACTAGAAGCAAGCAATCTAAAATCACATACTTTTCTCAAAAGGAAAACAAGGATCTGAAGATAATCCAGAAAAATGCTCAGAGGATAAGGATAACTTGCCAAAAAGAAAATGCTCTCGGTTAATTAATAGTGTTTTTAATGATGACGAAGAAAACATTGTTTAATTTATATTAATATGTATCACTTAAAAAAATTTTAATGAAGATATTTATCTTAATTATGAAAATATAATAACATGTTTTTTAATTTTTGGAACCTAACCCTCCTTTTCGTATTAGTTCTTTGTTTCGTATAACACGGATTCGCATAACACGGCAATTTTTTGGAACATAACTACTGTGTTATACGGGGGTTACCTGTATTCATCTTACTACAAAAAAGTTTAAGGATAATAGTTTTCATTTTTCAATATTCCATCAGATCCAATTTAGCAACTTACAGAGTTGCTGGGGAAGCTCAGATTATTTTTTAGTTATGGTTATTTTCTTTTCCTCTCTACTTGGAGCTAATAGTAAAGTCAACTAAGCCACTGTTAATTTAATGAAGTAAGCAATACACCTTTAAAAGTGGTTAAGGTTAGAGAAATGTTTAATGTTAACTGGGTCAAAAATAATAATGTTTCTCCAACTTTGTCTATTGTTACTTCATTAATTTAATGAGTTTGACTTTGAAAGAGATTCTTTATTAATAACAGTTAAAATATCTTTAAAATTATTTATTAAAGATTTGAAATTCTTATCCTCAATAGTTCACTGTAGTATTTATGTATAAGCAAACAATAATGTTTAATGTTTTCAAAACTTTTTATCATACTTAAGAGTGTAGTGTCCAAGAAGTATCAAAAATACTCCAGACAATCAATTGGGTAAAATGTGCGCATTAGGACCTTACATAAACAACAACTTGGATTGCACTTGAAAAAGTTTTAATAATAGACAATATATCTGAACTTACATTAACTACTACACTTGCGACAATTAATATATGCTCCCTTCATGGAGATGATAAAAAAAAAAATTACAATTATTTTACAGATGAAGTCCCTTAGTTGAATCTCCTTAGTATGAGAACAAAATTTCCGTCTAAGAATTCAGGAATCTGCTTGCAATAGTTTCAGCCACGTGGTTCCCTGATTATCTCAGAGAACAAAAATATTCATCTTATTCAGTTATACAAGGTCTGTTCAAAAAATATCGGACCTTTGGTCGGCAAAAATAAATTTATTGATTTTGAGGTACGAAACCCTAATCCCCTTCAAAGTAGTCTCCTTGGTAATGTATACACTTCTCCCAGCGTTCCTGCCATTGCTGGAAACACTGCTGGAACGCATCTTTTGGAATGGCCATCAGCCAGTCCGTCGGATTTCGCACGATGTCTTCTCTCGACTAAATTTGGGTTCCTTTTAGTGGCATTTTCAGCTTGGGAAATAGCCAAAGGTCACACGGAGCCATGTGGGGAGAATATGGAGCGTGACGAACCACAGGAGTATTGTGTTTGGCGACGAAAGCCCGAATCAGATGCACAGAATGGGCGGATGCGTTATCACAATGGAGCTACCAAGTTTTGATCGACCACAGATCCGGTCGTTTGCGTCACACTGTATCGGAAAGACGACGAAGGACCTCCTGGTAGTACTCCTTTGCGATGGTTTGGTCTTGTGGTGCGTACTCACGACACACCACCCCACGAGAGTCGAAAAAACTGTCAACACGACCTTTGGTATTGCTGCGGACTTGCCGCGCTTTTTTTGGCCTCGAGGATCATCCCCAAAAGCCTGCTGAATCTTGCAAATGGTTTACGCTTGGGTATCGCCAAGGTTTTTGGCAAAATTTGATATAATATCACTGCTCACATTGTTCAGTCATTTTCCAGCTTAGTGGAATCCGACGAGAGCGCACTACATGACCTCACTCATAGGCCGATTGCCAACGACTGACGCTTCCTGCAGGCGGGAAAAAATTCATGGCTGTGCATGACTGTCCCCTCTACAACTCCACCGAAGGAGGTCTCTCACGCATCATTGGTTTACGCGGAAAAAAAAAGGTCCGATACTTTTTGAACAGACCTTGTATACCCAAAACACTCTGTCTAATGATATTAATAAATTATCATGATGTATAACTCACGACAATGCGATCGATTCGATTGCTTCTCGAGCGTTTTTCTATCCTTCATCCAAACCGAGTCGTGTCCCTATTTCTTTCTATTTCACTCCATGCTCCAACACACCTCTGTACACTTGGCCCAAGTCCCAGTTAGGAAAAAAGGGTACTTCCTTCGCAGAGGCGGACTGGCCCTAAAATTTTTGTGTGGAAAATTTATTCCCAGCCCAGCCCACAAATAAAAAAATGTATTTTTTCTATTTATATTTAAATAAAAAAAATACATTTTTTTAACTATAACTATAACTGAAACTATAACTGAAGTTAACTATAACTATATAACTGAAGTTAACTATAACTATAAGTATAACTGAAGTTAACTATAACTATAACTGAAACATTAACTATATACTAACTTGCAGTCCAAACTGGAAGTTAGTATATAGTTAATGTTTGCACATTATTTCAATTTAAAAATTTTTTCCAGAATAGGGTTAGATAGATGACTGATGACTGGCATGACTCTGTTGTTAATAGGAAAAGTGTGATATACAGAGGCAACACACTACTAAGATCAAAAGCATTGTGACAAAAAATTTCAGCCTGGCAATTATTTATTGTGACGATGTCACAATAAATAATTTATTAATAATTTAGTTTAAAAAGTTAATAAATTATTATTTATTGTGACATCATCACAATAAATAATTGTTCATTGTGATTGGCCCTATGATCCATAATAGGGATAAAATATATACCAGATTGGAAGTGCATATCTGGATCTCTTTAGCATTGCAAAGAAGGGTAAAAACTGTGGGATTTCTGAAAGGGGATTGGAAGTTATTATTTATGGCAATCTTCTTGTCCTTGTACAATCAACTAATACATTACAATTAACAATACATTAAATAAAGATAATAAATTTAATAAATCCTTATTAATTTATTGATTAATTTTCTGTTTTTGTTTAATATGATTAATATTTAATTAATTAGATTTTTCAATGAATATTTAATGTAATATTTTCCTTCTAACTGAAGGAAAACGTTACATTAAATATTCATTAAAAACATATATAAAAGAGAAAATTAAAAAAAAACATACATAAAGGATTTATTTTTTTTTTAATTTTGAAATTTTTTAATATTTTATTTGACTTACATATACATAAAGAATATTAATTAAATTATATTAGGGCTTCTTAAAAGCTTTGGGAATGGCTCGGACTGCTCAAGTAAAGAGAGATGCTAGAATGGGAGAAGCAGAAGCAAGGAGAGATGCAACGATTAAGGTATGTTGATAATTTTCATTGCAGCACAGCATTCTTATTGTTAATTTTTAGGTTCTTACTAAACGTTTTATTTCTAAACAGCATTCTTATGTTTAAAAACATTTTTTTAGTCCTCTATTCTTCAAAATGACATATTTTTTCATTTCTGTTTAAAGTGTTTATACATTTACATTTATTTATTTCTGTTATATTCTTTTTAAATAAATCAAGGCCAGCCTTCATCAATTCTTATGTATTTTTTCAAATATCTGTTATGGTAGCTGTTTATGCATTCATACATATATATGCATGATCTTATTATGTAATTAATAACTGTATCAGAATTGCATACTGTCAAATAGAGTGATAATCTATAATTGTTCTGACCATAATTCAGATGGAATGCCTGAAGAGATTAATATATATATATATTCTCTTAATAAAATTTTTTCAAGAAATATAGATAAGCATTGTTCACAGTTTATCAGTGATAGTGATTTGGTGGTATAAAAAAAATGTACATAAATATCTCAAAGATTTTATTCTCAATAATCTATCTATAAAATTTTACATCAAATTTAATAGTTGGATTGATGTAGGTGGTTTTCTATAATCAAACAAAGCATATTTTTCAGATAAATTTAATTTGTTTAATAAGTTCTGATCACTTGCAATATTGTTATGTAAAACATAATAGGGATAAAATATATACCAGATTGTAAGTCACAGTTTTGCTTTGTAATTAGCATTGCTTTCATGGCTTCAATATTTAATCTTGACATTTTTGATTCAGGAAATTCATGAGTGAAATATTCTTTCTACAGAAAACGTAGTTCCTAGAAAACAAATGACTGATTTTATTAAGTTATTAAAATCTTGGAATTTAAGATCCTTTTCATGCATTTTGTTAAATACGTTAGCCCATCTGTCATCTGTACAACATGTCTAAAACAAATCCATAACAACAAAAATGGCTTTAACCCAAACATCTTCCAACCATAACACTGTGTTGAGTAATAACTGTCCACAAACCCTTTATCAATGTTGTGTTTGTTACAATATGCATTAACGTTTTTGTCCTCCACCGAGGTCTTCTTCAGGTGCTGACTAAGCGTTCTCTCCCCTTGACTGTTAGAATGATGTTGTCCAAGATGTAAATATTGTGTGTATCATGTTTCACTTCTTTTCACAAAGTCACAAAGTTTCTCTCAGGATGACTTTCTATGGCCCTATTTAGGTGTTAGACTTGCAAATAAAACCTAGAAAAATCCACGTGGCCAGCTCATTTGTGAATCCCGAATTTACGTCCATTGTTTAGTGAATTTATCCATTTGGTCACTGGTAGGCAGGAATGAGGAATGGAGTTCCACACACTAATGCATCTGTGAGAATTCATAAGTCGATCCGGATTCGAACCTGAATCCTTTAGAGCCTGACAGTGGCGTTTTTACATCCTCAATCACTCAGAAATTTTTGACTGAGATTAAGTAATATTTTGAAAGTTAAAATTTATAATACATAAATATTCGTAAAATGTTTTCAGTATTAATGAAGTAAAGTAAAAACAAGACAGAAAAATATACTGTAGACTAAGTAAAAAGTACTGTATATAATTTCCACACTACTTATAAGACGTCAATGCACTTCCACATTACTTGAAAGCTTGATATCAGATGACAGGCATCACAAGTTCTTATACAAGAATTGCTTTCAGTTGAGAAAAGTCACAAATTTCACAAAGTCACATTTCACCATGACATGGCATCCAACCACATCACTTCATATCTTGAAAGCTAATAGCTTCAACTGGCATCAACTATATCACAAATAGGAATATCCTCTAATATATTACCAATGGATTTCTACAGCATAAGTTTTTTTTAAAACAACACCTCTTTCTCAGAAAAGCCAATATGATGGAAGGCATCTGGAAAGTTTGCAATGATGAAGTTTTCAATGCTTGGAAAAGAAGGTGCAAGGTTGTAATAGACTTCATGAATTGTACATTGAGTAGCCCAAGCTTTATCACCAAGTTTTGAGAAATAAAAATTAAGAAGCAAATTATGTCAAATTTGCATGAACACACACTGTATTAAATTATAGAGAGTATGCTTTTATATTTAACATTTTATAAATATTCTCTATAATCTTTGTTTAGATAATATTGTTTTATAGCAATGAACTGTATAAAGACATTGGAAATATTTGGTTACAAAATTTAAAAAATTTTTTAGGATAATTTTTCCAGCTGTTTAAAAATACACCACAAAAATCTGTTGTTGGAATCAACGATCGCAATGTTTTGTAATGTTCTTCTGATGTAATAAAAGGTTAGTGGCGCTCTTGACCCCTCGGGCAAGGTGACCTCATTTCACTCTCCCTTTTCTAGCGCTGACCTTCTGTGAATAAAGACTGTGTGTAATCTTGTGCACTCTCTGTTCTTTTGTTACACAACTGGTTACATTAATCCAACTGCCTTTTTACTAATCTCTCCGAAAAGCAACATCTAGTCTAACATCTGTCAATATTTTGTGAATTGATTTAAATAAATTTTTAAAATTAATCTCTGTTATATTTGGAAAGAAAACAAAATCAAATCTGTAATTCTCTTTACCTAGAAGCATCATTATGTTAAAAAGTAAGTAATAAGTATATTTTAATTATTTTAGGAAGCTTTAGCAGAAGAGGAACGAGTAGCTGCTCGATATCAAAATGATACTGAAATTGCCAAAGCACAGAGAGATTTTGAATTAAAAAAAGCTGCTTATGATATGGAAGTGAATACAAAGGTTTGATTTTGATCATGTTTCTTTATTTCTATAATATAAAAGCCACTACATCTCATCAAATAATGTTTATAGTTGAAAATACTTTTATCTGTATGTTTAAATTTTTATGCAAAATATTATCTTAAAATAATTCAAAGAACAATAATTAATAATAATATTGTTGAATATTTTGTTATAAAAAGTTTTATAACAAAATATTTCTTTGTATTTTTTCACATAAGTATAAAAATATCTAAATACATATAAAGGAATAAGCATTGAAAAATATCACACATAATCAGAGTTCCATCTACATTCTTCCAATCATACAAATCTAACATTGTACTTCAGCAAACTGAAAGTGCCACCATTATTTTTCTCTTGCTTCAAAGATTTAAACTCTGTAGGGCACTTTTTGATTTAAAAGCTCATCATAAACTGCACGTATTTTGACAGTAGTTATATATTTATTAAATATTTCCTTAATTACTTTTGTGTTTGTAGTTGTATGAGATGAAAATGATTTCTGTTCCAAATGATGATAATGACAGCAAATCCAATTTCATTATAGTGCAGTTTTATTTGTCTTTTAAAATTTACTTACATGGATTTTTAATTAAAATTTTACATTATAATTTTCTATTCCGAGTATTCATCTTGTGCATAGTCAATCAATGCAATTATTTTAAGGTTATTTTTTGTTTTATAATCATAGGGCTGTCCATAAATTATTATGTAGTGGGTATATAGGTAATTGTTACAATGCATTACAAGGTGATGAGGTATTTATAAAACATTATCTAATACTAGTATCTCAACCCATGGATAACAGAATGAGTCATTTTTGTTTCTGAAGTATTGCATAGTAAACATGTGACTGCTTTGTAAATCATATATCTCATCTCTCTCAATCCTGCCCAAAACAACAACCTCTCTCGCAGAAACGATGTTTTATTTGTAATGCTAAAGGTCACCAAGTGATAAATTGTCCTAACAAAACCAGATCCTCTAAAGCAAATCTTGTCCATCCATCTTTTAGATCTAAATGTTGTTTAGATAAATAAAAGTTCTTACACTTATTTACCATCATCTATGTTTTTATGCAGTTTTAATGTTTAATAATATAAAATCTTCAGTTTTCTATATTATTAAACATCAAAAGAATGATAATATATATGAAGAATTTAAGGAATTTTTTATAAGTTAATTTTAAAAATTGTACTTCAATTTTATCTGCATTATGAGGTTTTATTTTTCACCCTGGTTGCATTGGAACTGACTGAGGTATAGTACATACAAATGTAAAACAATAGTTATCCTTAGTGATTCACATTACAAATTCTATTAAACATGACAAAATGTACAATCTTAAAACTCTCAATACCTTATACCAGTGTTTCTCAATGGGGGCAATATTGCCCCTAAATGGGCGTTTTTGCTTTTTGAGGAGGCAATTAGTAACAATTTATATTTTGGGGGTGAAAAACAATTTTCTGGGTGATATAGTAAAACATTATATTAAGAATAATTAGATATTTTATTTGTTATATCGTACAATAATTAAACAAAAAACATTATACTAGTTATTAGTCTATTCAATGCAGTATGAATTTGGCGTTAGCCTTGTCCCTCGGCATTGGAATTTTGTAGTGAAAGGGGCGATACTATGTAACGGTTTTATTGAAGGGGTGACGATTCGTTAGAGGTTGAGAAACACTGCCTTAGACTATCTTAAAATTAAGAAGACAGGTATAAGAGGCAGATGGAAGAAATGATGATGGTTAGTGTGGGAGAGATACCTCTAGTCCCAAAATGATGGATCATGTCAATGTAGTGTTCAGTGGTATTGTTAAAGTGGGAATAGTCAGATCTCAGACAATTTTTCTTTCTCATCAAAGCTTTGTACAGCCATCAGAACCATTACAACTGACGATCCTCCTTGCTCTTTTCCTCATTGAAAATGACCTCCTTTGGACATCTACATATGAAAACAAAAAAGTATTTCATGTTTTTCTAACTGCCTGTATATATATCCTTTTCTCTACCCTCCTCACTGGGTTTATTGCCCTTATGAGCATCAAGACAAAAGAGAAAGTGAAATGATGAGAACAATAAAAATATATATAAACAATTAACTATAGCTAATTATATTTACATATAATTCATGGCAGTTGACTGTCATATCTACTGTCCTTAATTTTCATACCTGTTTACAAATGTTCATCATTAATTAATCTATGTTTTAATAACAAAAAACAAATTGCTTTGCTGGAGCTCACTTTTACTTACAAAATAGTTTCTAGCACTTTTGGAGAACCAAGTCCAACATCAGGAGATATACAAACTGACAATGGACTTGGTTGTCCAAAAGTGCTAGAGAGTATTTTTTAAATAAAAATGAAATCCATCAGAGCAGTTTGTTTTTGTTATTTTTAAAGTTTTGAGTTGTTTTTGCATTAATATATCTTAATTTTATAAAATACTGCTAAATTGTATTTAGTTTTTTTATTAAATTAATATATTTTTTAAAATCTCTATTATATTGTAAAAGCAAATAGATTATAAAACATTAAGGTAAAATTTTATTCTCAAAATTTTATAGAAAGCAGAATCTGACTTGGCATATAATTTGCAAGCAGCAAAAACACGTCAAAGGATTAAGGAAGAACAAATGCAAGTGAAAATAGTTGAAAGAAGTCAAGAAATACAGATCCAAGAACAGGAAATTTTGCGGAAAGAAAAGGAATTGGAAGCCACAGTTCGGCGTCCAGCAGAAGCTGAAAAATACAGATTAGAAAAATTAGCTGAAGCTAATAGGTAACTTTATAAGTTTTAAATAATTTTGAAATAATTTGTTTGAATATTAATAAATACAAAAAATTACATTATTATAGTTGCATACTGCTATAAGTCATTCATTGTATCATCATCATTGAAATTAACTGTGAAAATTATCAGAATTATTAGAAATTTATGAATATAAATAGTTGAAGCTTTTCCAGCAACAATATTTTATTAATCAAACATTTTTATCTGACTAAATAGCTATCTTCAGAATCAAACTATTAAAGAATTGAAATGTGAAAATAGAATTTAAATAATTTTTTAAAATTTAAAAATTACAAATTCTTATAACATTTTCAAAAAATAAAATAAAAATGCATTAAAGAAAAATGCAATTTGATTTATACAATAATATTCAGATGATATCATTAATTTTTTAGTCAATCAACAACATTAAATTAATAAAATATATGTAAAAATATTCACATATTTTGAAGAAACACTAAACCTTCATTTCACTGTTCTTCTCAAATCTTTAGGAATAAGTCTCTAAAGGCAGAATTTCTATTGAGGCTACTCAACTATTCATTTGTCCCAGTATGTAAAAACTTTTAAGAAAAATAGTTCCCATTTAATATTTTGTATTAATTGTAATATATAGTATATATTATTTATTAATAAAGTATTGTTGCTGGAAAAGGTTAAAACTGTTTACATTTTTACTGCACTCCATTTTATGGGGTTTATTATTAAAAGTTTATATTTTAGCTTAATGTTTATTATTCTATAGAAATTTATATAAAAATTATAATTATGCAAAAATCATATGTTAAGATAATCTTTCCTAGATATTGAGGAATTTCTTATGGAATTTGCATGTGTTTCATCTTATTCTTTAAGTTCTTTCACAAACTGGATTTTGTTTAATGGATATATCATCCATACCCTTGCTACCTACTGTAGTTTTNAAGCACGGATAAAAAAGTTAGAAAGATTGAAAAAGCACCACTGTCGTCCGTCTTAACGTTCCTGAAAAGAGCACATAACCCCAATCCACAGATGCCTAGATTATTCGCATTTGCGAAAACGCACAAAGAGGACAAAGAACTCAGGCCTGTGGTAGAGAAGAATAACGCACCAACGTACGCACTGGAAAAACGTTTAAAAGAATACATAAGTACAAAAATGGAGGATAATAGTTTTGTGACCCATGATCCAAATAAATTAATAAAAGAAATACAGAACTTAAATTTAATGAACGAAGAAATAGGAACGGTGATGGACTTTGAAAATCTGTTCCCCTCCATAAATCTAACATCGTGCTACAACGAACTAATTGAATTCTTAATACAACAAAATCAAGAAACGGCAAAATACATAGAAAACTTGCAAGATTTGGCAAAACTGATTTGTTTTCATTCATTTTTCAAATTTAATGGAACGATATACAAGCAAAAGAAAGGAGTTCCTATGGGAAGTCCTATGTCAGGTCTGCTATGTGAACTGGTAATAAGGAAATTGGAAAAGAACATCCTCAAGGATTTCTCCGATAGCATCGTAATATACAAACGCTATGTTGATGACATATTAATAATTTGGAAAGATGACCAACGCATTAATGATTTCTTAACAACAATCAACAATAATGAGCACGGATTGAAGCTAAAATTAGAACAAAAAAGCCGAAGGAACATCCATTTCTTGGATATTAACATGGAATTCAAATTAGGAAACATACAAACGAACGTATATTTAAAACCAACACACGCTCCTTTATACATACCGGCATGGTCAAAAGACCCATATAAATATAAATTATCTGCGTTTAAGGCACTGATCAAAAGGGCCTTCCTGTACTGCACCAATGTACAAGACAGGGATAAAGAAATTAATAGAATTCAACAGATAGCAAGGACTTTAGGATACAGAAAGTCCACAATCATAGGCCTTGTAAAAAGCTACGGTAAACAAAAAGCTACGAATCCAAACCATAACAACAATACTACATTCAATAAGTTCACATACAATGAACAAACGAAGAAGGTGGTGAAGGAATTAGGAAAATACAAAAATGCAAGGATAATATATAAAAGAGCACCCAATATTTATAGATTATTAAGAAACGACAAGGACAAAATTAATTTAGAAGACCAACCGGGTGTATACAGTATACCCTTTGAGAACCAACAATTAGGTATTGAGAAAGAGTATATCGGAGTAACCAGAAGAAACCTGAAAGTACGACTAAAGGAGCACAAATATAGTATAAATAAAAAACTGAATAGTACAATATTAGCAAGTATGGCACAGGCAGACGGATCAGTAGTCAAATGGGATGAAGCCAAGATTGTTAGGACGGGACACTCACCTTCCATCGCAATGGAAATGGAGAAAATAGAGATTCCATTACAACGAATGATTCCATTACAACGAAAACTATTAAAACCTGAAGATGGCCTATACGAATTGGCCGAAAACGTTTGGAATAAACAAAAATAACTCGGCAAAAAATTCAGGTGTGTGTGATTTATTATTATAAAGTAGTAACTCTAGCAGACTCAAATAACACACCATTAAACTTATACTCACATCATACAGACATTACACAACATATAGAAAACATACACACAATCAAGCAATTGTCAGCTTGAAAGGCACTCCATGGCAGGCGTCCTTATGACCTGGCCAGAGATTTTGTTGACAAAACTGCTCAAACAGCTGGTTAGATCAGGGATGCCTCTTTGGGAAGAAGGAAGAACTCATGATTGCGATACAGGATGAGGCCATAATTATTAAAAACTACAGAAAACATACTCAAAGATACAACACTCACAAATGACACATGCAGAAAATGTCATATCATGCCAGAAGCTATAAAACACATTACATCTGGGTGTAAGCTCTTGGCACAGATAGATTACTTACAAAAACACAATCAAGCAGCAAATATAATACACCAAAAGCTAGCAAAGAAACACATATTGGTAGACATTCTTAAACCATACTACAAGTATATAACACAGACAGTATTGGAAAACAACACGCATAAAATGTACTACAACAGAGCTATAATCGCAAATAAAACAATTTACCACAACAGACTAGACATCACACTCATTGACAAACACAATAAAATTACATACATTATAGACATAGCCATTCCAAACACTCACAATGTACAAAACACATGCACTGAAAAAATTAGTAAGTACACAGAACTCGCCCAAAAAATAAAGCATCTGTGGAAAATGGATAAGGTGCTTATTGTACCTGTCGTTCTCTCCTGTACAGGTGTGATACCACACACACTATACAAAAGCCTGGGAACATTACAGTTGAATAGAAATACATAGATCACATTAGAAAAATCTACTATATAGAATATATGCCATATTGTTAGGAAATTCCTAATTACTGAGACTAACACACCTATTTAATTTTAGTTTCATTTTGGTTGCTATGCCTTAAATCTGGTCTGGCATAGTACGCAGCTACTATTAAAAAAATAATNATATAATAATTTATTCATTTAAATCAGTTAAATGTATTATAGATCAGTGTAACTCTCTCTGTATTATAAACACACATAGATGGGTGTTTATAATACAGAGATATGTATTAGTAAGTTTCATATTTACACATTTAAACCCATAGGGTATGAGGAGTCAACAGAACAATTCAAGTTAATGGCACTTATACACTTGTGGTAGATTTCATTATTGTTCTTTCCAGTTGGTCTCCTTTAAAAATATGTGGAACTGTTATGGAAGAACTTAAAGAATAATATGAAGATATGAGGGCAGATTTTTTTCAAGCTCCAATGGTCCATAAAACAAAGACAAGTGTAAATAACAAAATGAATTTATTACCAAAAGTTAGGTACAAACATGGTTTCTTTTTGACATAATCACCATGAAGATTGAAGCATTTGTCATATGTGTGGACAAGTTTTTCCATCCTCTTGTCATAGAATGTTGCTGCCAATGACTTGAGATGGGCCCTAATGTTGTTTTGAAGATCATTATTAGTCTTGAACCTCTGCCCTGCTAATTATGTCAAAAAATAAAAATGCCATGTTTGTATCTAACTTTTAGTAATAAATTCATTTTGTTATTTACATTTGTTCTTTTTTTATGGACCAACGGAGCTTGAAAAAACAGCCTATGTACTTATTATATAACACCAATACAGAATAGTCACAAGACTCTATGCATGCATACTATTAAGAAATTATCTATATACTCCCTTTCATTCTCAGTTCAATTCTTTGTTGATAATTAGAAGTCAGTTTATGATATTTAAAGACCAAAAAATAGTTTTTGGTTTTTAAATATCATAAAGTGGAGTTGACAAATTTTTCTTTCACAATATACCAAAGTAATTTTTATTAAGTGTAAATTTTAAGGAGGTATACCTTATTAGATCCACATTTAATCGATTATCCACTGAATTTTTTGTAGAACTATCCTCTAACTAGGAAACACAAAATACAATGTAATGCATAGCGACTTTGTGTTCACTCTGTACATTTATTGATCTAATAAGTTTAATTTTATATCAAGAAAGAGTTGAAATTATTTTTTATAAGTCTAACTTTATATAATTATTGAAAATTTTACCAAATATTAGATTACCTACAATTTTTGTATTTATATTATAGAAACAGAGTTATAATGGAAGCTGAAGCTGAAGCTGAAGCAATTAGGGTAATAATGAAATTAATATTATTTTAATATATTAAACAATTCTCATATCAACTTATTCATTCAAAACTGCTTTCTTCTGACCATCCAACCGTCATCATTTAGATGTGAGATTCATGGTACTGGAGAAAATATCAGTCTCACATTCTTGTCCTTGAATTATCAACACCAAAAATCAAATGGTCTTTATGGTGCATCATTAAGTTGTTCTTTTAATTTATCCTAATGTAAATTTACTGTGTGTTAAGAAACTTAGGTACAAAATTAGTTATTGTACAAATAAATATTGATGTGAGTGAAAGACATAAATTAATTTAATAAAGATATGGTTTATTCAATTTTTGTTGTTAAAAAAATTGTGTAAATACTAATTAGTTTTGGTAATTTTTCACAAAGGATTTGTATTTTTCATTTTTCTGAAGTGTCAGCCCTATCTGAACCATGCTATTTGTTTAAGTCTTCAGTAGACATGATTGAAATAACAAAGAAAACAATGTGGTTGTATAATAAAGAACATTCTAAAGGTATTAAATTTTAAGTTGGATAGTTAATTTGCAAGATGATTAAAAAAAGTGTGTATTAAATGTAATATAACTTAATGAATTGAAAAATCAATCAAGTTATATTTTGACTGACTGTGATCTATTGATACATAACTAGGCCATATTTGTATAAAATCAGTGATCTCACTCATAAAAATTTTTATGCTTTCTAATTAGGTAGCCTCACTCATGCACCAAAAAGGATCCTTGGTAGCTCTTGCCTTCCCCTAACACTCTCAGGCTATTTGCATTTGCCAAAACCCACAAAAATTATTCTTCTTTGAGACCTATCCTTGATAAGGCAAGATCCCCAATAGAGCTTTAGACTCTGCTATACACAAGCATATAAATAACCAATTGATCAATTATCCTTGGACTGCACAGATGTTGCACAGAACTGTTCTTAGAATCTCAGCATTTGTAAAACCTGATGAAGACCGAATATTTTAAGGTCAAAAACATTTGTTACTTCAATTAAATAGTTTTACTGGATTTTCAAAGGTTTTTGTGAGTCATTAGTAGCTCTATTTTTTCGAAGTCCATATCTTTATTATTCTAGGACTTACTGGTTACCACAACCAATTTTCAGTGATATAATTTTTTTTTATTTTGACTGTTTAGTGTCCCTGAAGATGGGTGTAGGAACCAGAGAGTGCTAAGATAATAAAGTTATAAACTTTAATAAAGCTGTATATGGTGAATTAATATTACTTATTATAAGATTTAATTTTGACATTACTTAAATATTTATGTTAAAATCAAAACTAATTTTCAGAATTTTCAAATGAATCAAAATGGAATTATAAGAAGAAACTTTATTTATAAAAAAGTAATAGTAAAAAGTAATTAATATCAAAAACGATCAATTTATTTAAAGAGAAATTATGAAATGATTTGTTCAATTTCAGAGTAATAGTAGATGCATTTGTGATATCATGTATACACAACACTGATTTGCATATGGTTTGTATATGACATGTAAAGAGTTGCCATACTGATATGACAGCTTCTTGCCTAATAATGTGTGTTGCTAGTATGGCCTCCTGCCATTATTAACTTTTATATATATATATTTTTTTTGGATTATTGATACAATAATAAATCCTTCCATAATAAGAAATATAGTTCCTTATGCAATTAAAGATAATAGAAATATGTAGAAGATTATATCTATTGTGGTGTACTAATATTGTTAACAGAATGATAAATTTTTATAATTTTATGCTAAAGTCAGAGTTATTGATTAATAGTGTTTATTATGTAAAAAAAATTTTGGATTAAATGCATAAATTTTGTTGAAAATATATTTAAAGTTGACTGAAATTTAACTTAGTTTAATATAGTATTTACCAAAAATAACTCGGCAAAAATAATTCAGGTGTGTGTGATTTATTATTATAAATAGATAGCATTGCTGAGAAGGTAGATAAATTATAAATGTATTATTTGAAGGAAATAAGCTTCTATTAACAATAGAATTCTAGGAAGGTGATTGACTCTGTTGCCCCTACAGATCTGTCCTTGATCAGAACAAATTCACAGACATCCAATATTTACTTCAAATAAAACATTTTTATATTTCATAAAAGCTTTGTGAATGAAACTTTCTCTATGTAGTCTTAAATATCTGGTATAATACATGCCTAAGATAAATTGTAAAATATTTCACTATTTCTTCATTTTTGAACCAAAAGTTAATAAAATTTTGTAAAATTTTATAATGTAATATGCTTTAAATAAATTTTCATAATATATATAATAATTTATTCATTTAAATCAGTTAAATGTATTATAGATCANTTTATGCTAAAGTCAGAGTTATTGATTAATAGTGTTTATTATGTAAAAAAAATTTTGGATTAAATGCATAAATTTTGTTGAAAATATATTTAAAGTTGACTGAAATTTAACTTAGTTTAATATAGTATTTACCAATTTTATTTATTTTAACAATGATAAATTATTATAGTTGAAAGGAGAAGCAGAAGCTTATGCTGTTGAAGCAAAAGCCAAAGCAGAAGCTGAACAGATGGCAAAGAAAGCTGATGCTTTCAGGGAATACAAAGATGCAGCAATGATTGATATGATGTTGGAAACATTACCTAAAGTAAGTAATGAATATTAAGAAATTTTTTAAATTTAAATATAAAAATACTTGTTTTTAGGAAAGTACTAACACATTTGTTTAAACTGAAAATTACAATATTTGAAGTTCAAAAGAAAAGTAATGAGACTGACTCTATAACTCAGAAGCCAACAGTGAAAGGACAAAAATATACAAACACTAATTATATTATCATAATGTGGTAGATTTCATCTTATTTGCTTTAATTAGTAGCTGTATTTGCATTGAGTATTTGTAGCATTGAAAGGAGTTGGGGATTTTTCCATGGCCTGGAGAGAAGTTAAGGGCTTGTAGTGATCTCTATCCCCCATAAATTAATGCTATTTTTACTAACAAAAACAAAATTTTTAAAACTGCCTTTTTAGTAACAAAGAAATATTCTACACATTTTATTTGTTCAAAAATAAATGGCAAAGGGACTTGATAGGGGAAAAGGGGCCCACTCTATCCACTGGCCCCATACATTTTTCACAACTCTATCAATAAGTTCTGTATCCTATTATTTAGTAAGTGTAGATTATCATTCAATGCTATTTTATCAAAATCTTGACTAAATTCGCTACACACTACAAACAAGTGAGAAAGAAGCAGCTAAGATTGGAGAATGCAGGTTAATCCTGACATGTTATCCTTGTTTGTAACATTACAACATATTAAATTCAATTGTTTCTAAATAATTAAAATTAACAAATATTTGGAATCTTTTTTTTTTTCTTGCATTTTTTAGAACATAAATTTTATACTATAAATAAATGTTACTTATTTACATAAAATTAATAATGAAAAATAAATGAAACATGACAATAACAATGAAATAACAATAAAATAAATAATGAAAAGCTTTCATATGAAACGGTTCCAAATTTTTGAGAAATCCATTTTAATTTAATCTACTTGAGCAACTGCATGTTCCAATGAATTTTTAATTTGATGAAGCCTTAAATAAAAAAAAATGAAAATACTTATTTTAAAATTACTTGTTCTATTTTATTATATCATTGATGAATCTATGTATCAATTAAGATTTTAGTGAGCAAAAAGCCTATATATTTTTAATCGTATTTTTGTGTCAATCTTTGTCCACACACATAATTAATTAAAACTAAGTTAATTATTATTAATTTACTAACTAGAGAAGCTAAATTAACTATTTATTTAATCATTAATGAAAAAGTTTTAGAATAAAAATTTTTTTATTTTTCAATAATTAACAATAATAATAAACTTTCAAATTTTTTTTGAAAGTTTTATTATTATTAAAAATAAAAGAGTTTAGACANGAATAAAAATTTTTTTATTTTTCAATAATTAACAATAATAATAAACTTTCAAATTTTTTTTGAAAGTTTTATTATTATTAAAAATAAAAGAGTTTAGACAATTAAAGTGATTGTGCTTTAAACGTTTTGGTATTACTTACAATTGATTGTTTTATTTTTGAATAATGAAATGAATCCAGTTTAAACTGTTTTTTTGAAGCAAAAGCTTTTTATAAAATTTAAGTGGTTTTTTACTATATGTTACTTGTCACAAGTCATCAAGAGGAAGAAGAATTAATAAATGTAGCATCACTACATTTATTAATTCTTCTTCCTCTTGATGACTTGTGACAAGTAACATATAACCTTAAATATGATATTTTTCTCTATTAAAATCAGAATATCTATTTGTTTTACATAAGTTTTTAAAGATTTTTTGCAATCCATATAATTGAAAAATATTCCAGTTAAGTTTTATTACATTTCTACATTGATTCCCATAATTATAAATAATGTAATTTTAAAGTGATAATGCAAAGAATTATAAGAATTTTAAAATATTGAATTTTACGAAATGATTTGTTTTACAGAATTTTACTGTAAAGTTAAATTGACTGAAAGTTGACAACTATGAAGATATAAAATTATTTTTCAAATAAAAAAAATAATTTATTGGATATATAAATATAATTTATTAAAAATAATTAATATATTGCTTAAACTGATGTTTAAAAACTATATAATACATATTTAATTTTGTAATTAAAATTAAACATGAAATTTTCTTTATTCTTTAGTTAACTGCAGAAGTTGCTGCTCCATTATCACAGTGTAAGAGAATAGTAATGATCTCATCTGGAAAAAGTGAAATTGGGGCTAGTAAACTTACAGGAGAAATTTTAGATATTGTAACAAAAGTACCTCACGTTGTAACTCAGTTAACAGGAGTTAATGTGACAAATGTTAGTAATTTATAAATTTATTTTGTGAAATAAGTATTTTTTAAATTGCTAATAATTTATTTAATATTTTGTTTTACTTTATTGTTGTTACAGTCATTGAAGATGGCCCAAGCTACAATGTAAAGCAAACAACATTTCTGTAAATATGATAATTGTTGTGTTTTGCTTAAAATAGTGAATCTGTTAAAATGTGTTATTACATATTATTTTTGTCATCATTTCACATGGTTAACATTCGTATATTATTATCTATGAAAATTCAATGTTTAAATAATATATATAGTTATATTGTAAATTCTATACAACTTAATGTGGTATTAATATGTATAGAATTCAACTTTATTCTATGTTGAGCTTTTATTGAATGCAACTATATGCAATTAGTTTTAAATATTTAATTTTAAGTTATGAAATAGAATTGAATGTATGTGTATAAGCTGCAGTTTTGCTTTGAAGTTTTTTTTATATATTGCATGTTCATATCAACTTTCTTTAAAGTAAAATCTACTTTTTTCGAGATTTCTATACTCAAAGGAAACTCTGTCTAATGACATTATTTAACTAGAAAGACAGAGTTCTTCTTTATGTTTTAGCTTGATGTTAAGTGCTAAATATACAGTTAAATTTATATTACTCTTAATGAGCAAATCATGCTACAATTCAATCAAACTATATGTGAATGAATGAGTAGCTTTATTTGACTAAATTTGTTGAATTTATTTTACTTATTAATCTGCAAGAGTCTTAATGCCAGGTAATGTTTCTTTATAAATCATAAACTTTCTCTTTCTCAATTTAATATTCTGTTTATTTTTATGAATGTATAAAAGTGTCTTTTATCCTGGAAAATCAAAAAGTATTAATGCAATCTTGATAGAAAAATAGCACAATCTATATAATAGAAGAAATATTTTTAGTAAATATTTATCCTTATTGTAGGGTTTTTCATAAATTTATAATGCAAGTGATGTAAATTATTAACTGCCAATGCCAGTTTTATTAATTNGGGCGTTGTCTTGTGGTCCTAATCAAAGGTTTTTGGATACCGATAGTTTGTTACGAAGACGACGACACATTTAATTTTAATACATATTTAATTTTGTAATTAAAATTAAACATGAAATTTTCTTTATTCTTTAGTTAACTGCAGAAGTTGCTGCTCCATTATCACAGTGTAAGAGAATAGTAATGATCTCATCTGGAAAAAGTGAAATTGGGGCTAGTAAACTTACAGGAGAAATTTTAGATATTGTAACAAAAGTACCTCACGTTGTAACTCAGTTAACAGGAGTTAATGTGACAAATGTTAGTAATTTATAAATTTATTTTGTGAAATAAGTATTTTTTAAATTGCTAATAATTTATTTAATATTTTGTTTTACTTTATTGTTGTTACAGTCATTGAAGATGGCCCAAGCTACAATGTAAAGCAAACAACATTTCTGTAAATATGATAATTGTTGTGTTTTGCTTAAAATAGTGAATCTGTTAAAATGTGTTATTACATATTATTTTTGTCATCATTTCACATGGTTAACATTCGTATATTATTATCTATGAAAATTCAATGTTTAAATAATATATATAGTTATATTGTAAATTCTATACAACTTAATGTGGTATTAATATGTATAGAATTCAACTTTATTCTATGTTGAGCTTTTATTGAATGCAACTATATGCAATTAGTTTTAAATATTTAATTTTAAGTTATGAAATAGAATTGAATGTATGTGTATAAGCTGCAGTTTTGCTTTGAAGTTTTTTTTATATATTGCATGTTCATATCAACTTTCTTTAAAGTAAAATCTACTTTTTTCGAGATTTCTATACTCAAAGGAAACTCTGTCTAATGACATTATTTAACTAGAAAGACAGAGTTCTTCTTTATGTTTTAGCTTGATGTTAAGTGCTAAATATACAGTTAAATTTATATTACTCTTAATGAGCAAATCATGCTACAATTCAATCAAACTATATGTGAATGAATGAGTAGCTTTATTTGACTAAATTTGTTGAATTTATTTTACTTATTAATCTGCAAGAGTCTTAATGCCAGGTAATGTTTCTTTATAAATCATAAACTTTCTCTTTCTCAATTTAATATTCTGTTTATTTTTATGAATGTATAAAAGTGTCTTTTATCCTGGAAAATCAAAAAGTATTAATGCAATCTTGATAGAAAAATAGCACAATCTATATAATAGAAGAAATATTTTTAGTAAATATTTATCCTTATTGTAGGGTTTTTCATAAATTTATAATGCAAGTGATGTAAATTATTAACTGCCAATGCCAGTTTTATTAATTTTACGATGCCAAAATACTTTCAGCTGACATAAATATATATCCTTTTGTATTGAGGATGATAATCATGTATATATTTTTGGTAAACACAAGGCAGTTAATGTGTTAAAAAAGATAGTCAGAAATAGAGAAATAAAACATAGACAAAGTTAAATTTCTATAAATATTGTGTTTAGTTAAATATGAAAAATCATTTCATATGCTATTTACTGACTAAAGTTAGATCCTGCTGATTATATATTTAACAGTAAACACTAAATTTCAGATGAAATGTTAATTCAAAGATTAAATTTATGCTTGTTTTATATAAAGGTTACTGTCTAGTGTGACTTCATAACAAATAATTTTATTAATAATAAATTTTAAGATTAATATTATCTTAATTTATAAACATTCTTTCATTTCTTTTTAGCAATATGTTTTTTTTTTTACATCATTCTTGCTGTTATGTAAATTGTGTTATTTTAAACAAAAACTGAAATTTTAATTCATTTAATATATCATATCTGTTGTTTTCTTTTACTTTTTTATAATTTTTAATTTCATAATCCTAGCAATGAAGACAATTTTTGCCTGTTAGAAGCAAATAAAGAAATAGAATAATTTTATATCTTTTTATAACTATTATTTATGAAATTTAATAATCTAGGTATAAATTATGTTTAATTATCAATTTAATTCATTTTTGAATAATAAGAATCAGCCAAATAGCTTCACAGTAAAAAATTCAACCTAAGCCACAAGAATTACAATGTTTCATGGTTTAGATTGAGTTGGAGCATCATTTCTTCTTGCTCTCTCATGCTTATCAATTCCATTATGAGTCGGGCCTCCTCATAATGTCTAAAATTGAAGCCGACTACTTGCCCATTGTGCGCTGATGCCTTGCATAACAAATCCAATTCTGTATAATGGGCCTGTCCATTACTATTATTACATTAAATCCAAATAGATTAGAGGGTGGGACTTTTCACTAAAAGAATTAGAAGTGGGATTTTTCACATGTTCTCAATTGTAAAAATACTTAGATGTAAAACGATTTAATATAATCTTGACAGCAAAATTTACTTCAATTTTTATTAACTTAGTTATAGTATCAATTTATAATTATTATAATTGTAAATAGATATTATATTAAAAATACTAAATATTATCTATTTTAATACAATAGATAATATTAGGAAGAAATCAAAAGTTGATCAAATTTTATTCCAGTTTGGAAAATTAATAGTGATTGCTATACATTATATATATATATTTATATTAATGAATTAATGTTACATAGTATTTGATAAATGAATGAATATGTTAATAATGTTTTAGTGCATAATATAAATGTTTCCAGATAATTATGTTGTTGCATGAATGTTAAATTCTATTGAAAAGTTCAATATAATTAAATATGTCGTTTTGTTGAAATAAAATTTGTCTTTTAATTTCAAACTGAATTTTATTAGAATTTAAATAAATCACATTTGATATTGAAGTTAACCAACATTTTCTGTTTCTTAATCTGGTAACCAGAACCCATGTTTTATGAGGCCCTACACTTACATATATTGAGAAAAATCTTTTTAATCATTTTATAAATGTCTAGAATTGCTATGGTCTAAATATATACTATCATAGATCTATTTCGTGTACAAAATAAATTTAATAGGCAAGTACTATATTGAAAACTATTTGGAAAATGAACTTGCTGAATTACTTGAATTACATCATTGATATTGTGTTCTCTTTCTTATGCATAAAAATATATATATAGTTTTCTCTGTCATAAGTTTAATCTTTTGCAGTGATATACACATAGTAGTTCTCATGCTACAAACTATCACCATTTGTTTTCACTGATGCAAGATTTAATAATTAAATTTTGGGATGTTCTTATCTCTATGTTATGTAGAACTGTAGTAAATGTCAAGATTGAATATGTCAAAATTCAGACATTGATTTTTGTTTTCTAAGTTTTTCACATTATAAAATTTTCTAGTCCATTATTTTGAAGTTGGAAAATTACTGTATAAGGATTTGATATCTAGTTGGATTAATCAACTAAACCAGAGAAATAGTGGAAACTAAGGAAAGTAATGCAATTTTTTGAAGATTATATTTGGATAGTCAGGAATATCTGTAAAGTGAAGGTCAAATGCCAAAGCTAAAGAAAATGTCAGAATTAAACTTAGTTGAGTTTAGAAGTCGATCTTTTTGCTATATCTTAGATCTTTTGATCATCTCTGAACTTGTTGGAACAAGCATGAGTGAAGACGGTGGAATAGTATGAATTATATTCAGATAGCTTTTGGCAATGAGGAATCTGGTCTGAGTAGCAACAGTATTATAAAATAATGAAGTACGACTAAGTAATGAATCTCGAAAAGCTAGTTTAGTACGATAAAGATTTTAGATTTTTATGTCACCAAGAAGATAAAGGATATGGTAAAAATGAAAACAAGGAAGTAGCCTGAAAATAAATTTTTCTCCGGAATATTCTCCATGAATCTTCTTGAAACTACGTGAAACGACAACGAAATTTTACTTTTTCGCTATTCTATCCAATAGCAATGCTACTACACACAAATCTTCAAAAATATAAATGGCCAAACGTCGCAAAAAGTCAGAGGCCGAAAATCTGTCTTGTCTATGAGGAAACAGTTCGTGTCTGAAAAAGATGGTGTGAATATATGCATATCTGACGATGTCTTTGTCAGAAAGTTGCGGTTACGTGTCTGAATGGATAGTATAAATAGATTTGAGAGGCATATGCAAGTTTGAATCGCGATTAGATCCTCAAATTTTTATAGTTGGTCTGATTGAGATTATGCCCACCAAGAGTCCGAATGGAAAAAAAAAACACTGAACATTCATTGGTCGTGGATTTGTGCCTTCCTAATGGACTGTTCAAGTGGAGTTTTCCGGGTTTTCTTCACGTGTCTAATGCCTAAATAGAGATCAGTTTTCTAATAGCAGGTCCTCCCGGGAGGCATTTTCCTCTTCGCTCAAGTATTGTGTTACCTTATTCCATTAAATATATCGTGATTGGTATATGTTGGGCCTCGTCCAGTTGTCTCTTTACAGATCTGTAAGGAAAAGGATCCTAATGCCCACAAAACTGAAAAGAGCGAAAAAGTTTAGCTTCCTGACAGCAAAGTGAAATACAGTATAGCAATTAAGATATCTTAATTGTCATATGCATAAATTTTAGTGTTGCAACGAATAGTATAACGAATAGTATTATTCGGCCAAACTATTCGGCTCGATTAACGCACGTACGAAAATTGGCTCGCAAACCACATTATGGCAAGGAACCTGCTCTCTATTGGCCCGCTGTCACTACACTTCGGAAATCGCGTTAATTCTTGACAGTTGTAATGGACAGACGAGCGTCACGGCAGTATGTGATAAATGATGATATCAAATATGGATAACAACGAAATGATCTACACGTGTAAATAACGGAAAAAGAACAGAGAAGGACCGCGAAGTGAAAATAAATATGAAATTGAGTTAACATAATCGAACAAGTTGAGGCAGCTTATTGGCGCGAAATTCGTGGCCGTCAATGCCAAACAATTGTCATAGACTTCGGAAAGCTAAATGCTTGTAATGAAAGTCACTTAGCGTACACGGGCGAAAGCCTGGGGCCGTTCGGGCTACCAAGCTGTCTCGAATCTGTGAAATCATAACTGT